AAGCAAAGTGTGTGCACTTAACCGCTACACCAGCGAGCCGGCCCCTCCATTATTTTCTTAATGTCTGCCAATTTCTATAGTTGTATAGGTATCTGCTAATTTGTATAATTGATTTAGCTTTAAAATTAACGATTTCATAGATAAAACAATAGTATCTCAATCAAGGTAAAAATTAGTTCCATTTTAATTATAATTAAATTTAATTTGTTCCGCTGATTAATTTTAAACTCAGTATAGTTCAAACAAATGCAAAATCTGAATTCTAAACTATTTTTCAATTAAACAATCTCAAATACCACAAATCTATGGTTAGCATATTTTAGTTTTTGATAGGCCTTTGACATCAACTATCTGATCTTTAAAAATCACTCAACAGAGAAATTACAATTTAGTCGAGGAATACATTTCATAATACGCTGTACTCTTTTATGACTTCAATAGTTTACTTTAGTCAAGAAATACTTATTTTTAGCTATACTATGTAAATTTCAATAATCTGAATAACAAGACCTAAATAAGTGATTGTAAATGAGATAAGCACAACAATGAACATACAACTTTCCAAAGTTATACTGTAAAAATGCTACGGTATTCCTTTATAATATCCTCCTTGATGATATAATGCTTGATACAACGCTAAAACATGAACTAATATAATGTTATATGTCAATTAAAGAAAATGATAAAGCTAAAAATGTTCCAAAATTGAAAGTTCTATTTTCTACTTGCACACATATCATGTTTCTTAAGACTATATATGACAAGAACAAAAAAATACAATAATAGAAAAAAATACGTATAAGACGTGCGCTACGTTCTTTATGTTCTTATTTAATCTTCAAAACAACCACATACTGTCATAACATCATTGTGTTATAAAAATACTATGCCCATGTTTAAAGATAAACTAAGACTCAGAGTCACTTACCTCAGCTACTAGTCTAACTGTAGAAATTGTGCTTTTAAGTCAAATAACATGCATCAAAATACAAAGCAAAACTGTGAAAATAAAAAAATATATAATAATGCTAAGACAATTAATATATACCTACAAATTATGGACAAAATAATCTGTTTTTACAAACATAATCTTAAAAGTTATAGGAAAAGCAATGCCAGGTGTCAAATAGCAATAGTCAAATTTAAAGGAACATTAATTGAAAACGTTTAAATGCCTACAATGTTCTAGGTACTTTATTAGGTGCTGAGGATACCAAAGTAAGACAGTCCCCACTTAGTAGGGCAGATAAACATCCAAACAATTACACTACAATATGGCGATTCTCTAGGAATAATTTTATACACATACACACACACATAGATACATAGATTGAATCAATATGATGGGGGCGTGTAATCCCAAAATGGTTTCTTTTAGGAAATACCATCTGATAAAAACACTGCAGTGTTGATGCAGCATAGGATTGGGTGGGATACACAGCAGGAAAGGAAGCTAGGAAGGTAGTTTAGGGAGAGATTATTATCGCCTTGAATACCATGCTCAGGAGTCCAACCTTCATTCAGTAGTCACTGGAAAGGTCTCAATTTTTTTTTTTTAAATACAAGGACCAACATAATCACATAGGTTTCAGAAAACATACTTAAGCTAACGTTAGCAGCATTCTGGAGAAGAGACCAATTTGTCCAATAACTCGTGAGAGAAATGATACGGGCTTCTAAACTACTATATACATTGGAAAAGAGAGAATCCAGAGGAAGACTGGACATGAGGAATGACGAGTTAGAATCAAAGCTGAGACAATGATAGTTTCTACCTTAGGTTCCAGAAAGTTTATGCCACATACAAAGTGAAGAATACAGAGGAGAAGCCAGGTTTGGGTAGGCAGAAATTGATTTCAGAGACACACAAGGAAAACTAGGAAATAGTGTTAAGAGACGTCAAGGAAGGAGAATTTCAGTTAAAAAAACAAGGCTACCAACACTGAATATTGCAGAGGTGACATGGAAAGAAGACTGAGATTAGGCCACTGTGTTTAACAACTAGGTCACTAGGTTATCAGAGAGATCTTACTCCACAGAGGACAAAGGAAAGGAAAAGAATGTCTGCTGAAGTAAATCTGTTATATGTAGAAACCCAAGCTAGTAAAACTCTACACCAGCAGTTCATAAACTTTTTGGTCTCAGGATCTCTTTACACTTTCAAAAGCTACAAGAGCTTTTGTTTATGTAGGTCTTATCTATCAAGAAATAAATTACTATATTAGAAATAAAAACTGAGAAAAAATGTAAATATATATTAGTTCCTTAAAAAAAATAACAAAAGCACATCACGTTAACATAAATAACATAGAGGGAAAAAAACCTATATTTTCCAAAACAAAGATAATTTCGTGTGAAGAGTGGTACTTGTATATTTTTGCAAATCTCTAATATCTGGCTTAATAGAGACATCTGGATAGTCATATCTACTTCTGCATTCAATTTGCTGCAATACGTTGTTTTGGTTCAAGTAAACAAAGAAAATCTGGACTCCCACAAATATGTAGCTGAAAAAGGAAGAAGTATTTTAATAGCCTTTTCAGGTAATTGTGGATATTCTCCTTTGATACTACATAAAACACAACAAGTAGTTGTTTCTCAAAGGTTAGTTACACGTGAAATCGAAAACCAGATCAATGAAGTTCTCCTGGTGTTCCCTTAAAATCCATTGGTTTATCTTGTCCTTTGAATAGGTTATCCATGTGTGGTTTTGTAATATCATACATTGGTTATTGGGAAATATTAGTTCAATGAGTTATGCAGATCTTCCAAATATTGACAAATTTCATGATAAAATATCAGAAATTATAGTCATTGATATCACCACCCAAACTCCTCTTTAAAGTACTAGGAAAGCCTTAAGCTCACTGTAGTGGTTACAAGTTTTCAAAAATTCTAATTTTCACTTGAAAGCTCAATTTTTATCACTGGCAACAAACACCATCAATTGTTTTCCTTGAAGTGACAGACTCACTGTGTTCATTTTTGAGAAAATAGCTGCTAAATATCCAAGTCTGAATAACCATAGTATGCCAGGCATTCATTAGAGTAAAAATGATGTTCTAAGAAAAAAGCAGCTAGTTCTGCTTGCAAGTCAAAAAACTACACAAACACTCTCCCTTGAATCCACCACTGTACTTTAGTATGCAACAGAACTGCTTTACTTGTACTTGCCAGTTCATCAGAATATTAAAAAAGACATGAAACTTCCTAAAATTAGTAACTTTTCCTGTTTCATCAAGGATAGTCTTAAGTGAAACTGGTGTTACTTTTTTTTTTTTTTGGTGTGAGGAAGATTAGCCCTGAGCTAACATCTGTTGCCAATCCTCCTCTTTTTCCTGAGGAAGACTGGCCCTGGGCTAACACCCACGCCCATCCTCCTCTACTTTATATGGCACGCGGCCACAGCATGGCCTGACAAGCGGTTCGTGGGTCTTCGCCCGGGGTACCGGGCACGCGAACCCCAGGCAGCCCAAGCGGATTGTGCGAACTTAACTGCTAGGCCACGGGGCCGGCCCCGAAACTGGTGTTATTTTTACTGCACGTGCATGGTGGTTTGAAGATTACAATGAATATAGCGATTTGATGCCACTGCTTTGATTCATGCTAAGGGGCCAGCAGTTTTACCCACCATTGCCTCTGCACCATCACTGCAAGTGTCAACACAGTGAAAAAGGCAAATAACATCTTAGCATGATTAGGAAAATAGTTTGCACCTCACAGACTCCCTAAAAGGGTCTCGGGGACCCTCAGGGTTTCTCAGATCACACTTTGAAAACCACTACTCCAGACTATCCAAACGCTAATCACTTTCAAAATCTCTCTGTAAACAACGGGCGAGCCCGTATGACTACTCTAACCCGACACAGAGGGAGGAAAACAAACAAATCAACCAACCTCCTAGAATAAGGAGTCTCTGAACAACAACTGTGTGGTAGCTGGAAAGGTTCCTCAGACAGGTAAGGGAGGCTCAGGAACTCTGCATTTCTGAAAAACGGACTGACTTAGATGGTCCTCAATTTTTTCTCCCATTCCCACACCAGGAGTCTAGGAGAATCTGTGCCAAACCTCAAATTAGAAGACAGAAAGCAAGTATGACAAGATATCAATGATATTGAAAAGATTTTTATCAGATGATAACTGATTTCTTCAAAACGTGAAATTTTATACAGTTTACTCCCATTTTATAGAAGTTGAAATAATTCATTCTTTTTGCCAACAATCAGATCCTAAGCATAACACTGTGTTCAGTTATAAACACTATTTTTAAATGAGAAAATTTCACCTGTTCGGCTCATACATAAAGGAAAGATTTACTAATACTACTCATGTACAGAATTTGATATAATTCAGTGTTTCTGATCTAACAACAAAGTTACAAAATTTTACAGAAGAAACAAAGAAACGTCTATTTTGCTCACAACTGTATGTCTAGTACCTAGCTCAGCTCTTCTATAAAATAAGAGATTCAACGAATACTGCTGAATGATGAAGTAGTTGAAACCCGATAAGAACCCAGGTCGCCGGACTTTTAGTACAACACCTAGTGCTCTTGCCACTATGTGAAATCTTTTTCACAGTTCTCTAAAATAACATCTGAGAAACCTAAAGGAACTATTACTGTTTACCCTGAGAAAATATAACATTACCTGTTACACTTGAAATTACACTTGAAAGCCTGCTATGGCCTAGGTGTTTTATAGGTTTTCATTTAGATTATAGTTCAAAACCAAAACCACTATCATTTTCATTTTTAAATATCTACTATCTGAATTAAGCAGTAATTTCCATTCCTATATGAAGAAGTGGCAATAAGATACTAGTCTAACTCAACCATCACACATCGATTGTACTACCCTCATACACACTATACTAAATATTTAATTTTCTCTGATGATTCAGAATGGTTCTTAATTTCTTCAAGCTTCTTAGGTTTATATTTGAAATACAGTGAACTTATAAGAACTTAAGATATAAGGATGAAGGAGACTCTGTAGTACCTTTGATAATAATTTGTCACTGTAGCTTTTTCTTTTTTACATTTTTCCTGCCAGTTTGACATTTATCACTGTTTCTCTCACAAAAGCACAATGTAGAAAACTTCAGGCACTTAAACCATCTAGTTATTTAGATTCTAGATAAAAAAAGAGATGAATCAAACTTGAACTAATTAAGGCCAGCAAGTACAAAAGTGAAATTCAATCATAGAACCGGCATAAATTTAAAGAATATAATTTATCAATTTAGGAATTGAAGCTACTTCAAATCACATTTCATTTTGAAACACTGCTATGAATATAACCTCATTTCATTTCATACAGTTATTCTGCAGAAAAACATGACCTACCAAGGATATAGCCAAAGGAAATGGTCCTCTGTTGCAATATAAAGGATTTGAAGTAGATATGTTTTAATGAAAAAAAATTGTCAGTGAAGACTTTAAAGGGAAACCACGGACTCCATCTTCTCTGGAGGTTTAAAAAGAAAAGATTTTTCAAATGTCTGGGATGGCTTAGACTTGGCCTCACATTTGGCGACTGAGACAGAATCAGTTCAAAGGTCAGTCTGACCCAAGGGATTCAAGTCCCGTCTGCTGGTCACGCAAACAAGTCATTAGCAAACTGCATCCTTCTGCTCTGCAGCTATCCAGTCCCTGCTCTGGTAATCGCCAACCTTATCCTTGAAATTACCCTAACCGCTAATTAACATGTTAGCTGTAGAGAATTATTTCTTCCAACTACTGAAAATTCTGCTTCTCAACAGTGTTCCGCAGTCCTTTAATCCTGTTTTTCTAACATTACCAGAGAGGGAAATATTTTGTGGTGCAATCAATATCTGCCCTATTAACAATGCCCATTCCATTGTTCTATCCAAACATGGATTCCACTCTGAATTTCAGAAACAGCGGTAGGAAAATAACAGATAGAGAAATGAGAGCTCTTAGGTTTAACTTAGGGCCAAAATCAAAAGAGAAGAGACAATTCAGAGAGAGGAAGGAAGAAGCCGAGAGGGTCGTAGTGTAGAACACTTACTTTTAGGAACAGAGTGTCCCTTAGACTTCTGGTGAGTTGCCCAGAGCCTCTTCAGTTTCAATCCAAATGACAATGCTTCTCTGAGTCCTCCTCAAGTAAGGTTTCCACCACTAAAAATTGGATCTACAAGAGCTCAGATGGACTGGTAAAAAATGTCAGGGGCCCCCATGTGGGCCTCAAGCCTCTTTTAAACTAGGCCCACTTCTCTGTCCTGGGCCAACTCCCCTGTGCACTATATTCCTTCTTCTTCCAGATGCCAGGTATTCGGCCTGTTTCTTCTCTTCTGAGCTGCCACCACCTACTCTATTTCTCAGGGTTCCTCTAACCCCAAGACTGGCTGTGGAGTAGGACACCAGCTTCCCCCCTTCCTTGCTGTCCCTGCAAATAAACATATAGGCTCTTCTAGTTTCAGTATTTTTCTAATGGCTATAAGACAATAGAGAGGGAACAACAAAAAGCAACAATATCGTACCAGAAATTAAGATTATAATAATTGTCTCCACTTTAAAGTTCCTGCCTCCAAAAACCAAATTTTCTGAAAATGCTTATTGAGCATTTTAAAAAGTACAAAGTACTAACATAGATATACAAATATAATCTAAACCCAATGCAACCTTAAGATACTCTGCTTTTCAACATACTTTACTCACGGGTCCAAAAATAGTTACCACATTCGTTTCAGCAAATAGGTACTTTTTTCTCTTTAAAATATTCAGCTAAATTCCCTTGAATTTAGTAGATGTATGAAAGTTTGCTTTTTAAAGGATATCATGAAAAATGTTCAATATATTTTATCTAATGTAAATGAGAATTAATATACAAAAAGCATATTACGATTTACAAAAAAACAGGTATGTCAAAAGCAGCTGGCTTCACTAAGCAAATCTTAAAATTTTAAGGTACTGTGAACCAATTCTGTCTTTAAATTTTAAAAATTAAATAAAATGCTGTAAATGGTGTTTACAAATCTGGATATCTCATTTTTAGAAATCTAACTTCTAATGAATATATAAATCTAATGTCAATGTCATGTAGACCTTTTATAAACAACAGTAATTCACATTAGTATACTTATACTCTCGTGATAATTTAGTTTCTAAAAGACTTGGTAATTTCAAAACACGTTATCTAAATACTAGGCTATAAATCACAAGATTATAATTAATTAATTCAAAAGCTACATTCCTATAAAGGTGAAGGAACTCTGTAACTAAGTGCTGGCAGATCAAAAATGTCAATGACTGAATTTCCTGGATGATTTTCTTTATCCACTTAATGCACTTAAGTGGTTCTTTAAAAGACTGAGTTATCACACTGTAAGATTACAATAAAATAAAGGCTAAAAATAGTCAAAGATCATTTTATTTCATTTGTATAGTCTAATAGATTGCCATTTAATCAAACTAAAGATATTCAGATACTTTCCGTAAAAATGTGTCTCTGTCACTGAGCTCACCTCCAACTATTTATTTATAAAACATTAGAGAACTAGAATAAACACACTAAACAAAACCTTGATCTGACCCTTCCAGACATTTACATAAAAAAGGAAGTTTAATCTATTGTGTATTCTATAAGCAGATACTATGTTTTTGAGGAATGAAAGTGAATTACATCTTTTGCTCTTAAAGATAGTTTCATGATTTTTCTTTGATTCCTACACACTAACACAACAATGCAGCCAAGGTTATTATATCCGGAATGGGGGGGGGGGCATTACACCCAGCGATAGGAATTACATCGCAGTAGCTAATGCCTCCCTTAAATAATTTATTCTCTCTTGGCTGCAAAAAACGTGACAGCCTCTTCAATTACCCCTCACCGCAAACCATCGCTTGCGTCGCGATCAATCTGACCCAGTTCCTATCGGGGCCACCACCTCAGTGTCGCGTCCTCGCGCCGGGTCTGCGAGTGTCACGGGAGGGGGCGGCGGCCGCGGGGGCGTCCTCTGCGCCGCGACCGGCGGCCGGCGGCGCGCGGGGCAGGCCCGGGACTCACCGGGTGGAGGTGCCCTTCCGCACATCGCACATCATGCACTTGAAGGCCTCGGCGCTGTTCCGGAAGGTGCAGACGCTACAGTCCCAGTACCCCTCATCCGAGGACGGCTTCGGCTGCCGCTTCGGCCTGCAGGACACAACCCGGACACGACGCGGCGCGGGG